AACATTAGCTTAATTTTGAAATAGAATTGTGTAGAAATGAAGAGCATATAATTGTTAAAATGTATAAACTTACTGAAATTTTAAACAGAACAAGAAGTGAAAAAATGTATGACAAAGATTTGGTTATAATATACAGGTTGAACAGTGACAAATGTGTGGCTGAAACAACTGAAATTTGCACTGTTAAAATCTTAAAGATAATTTTTATAAAATGATGCATCATTGATATATATAACCAAAGAAATTGTCTAGAATATATGAAGGCATTTCATTTTTTTTCTTGGAAAAATGAACAAGGAAGGGTATTTTATCATGTTTGGTAGATTTATAAAAGCTAGAAAATTTTGGATTCAAATACATACACTGATTTGGAGGATTTTAAAGATTAATATACAATTGAGATCAAGAGTGTATTTCAGAATTGATGAACAAACAATAGGGAAAAATCATAGCATTTTGTTTTTGTACATGAGAACTGCAGTGAAATTATTGTATGCAGAACGACAGAAATATTCAAAATTACCCACAATAGAGGAATGGTTGGTGAAGATGGGATCTGATGAAAAGGTCAGCTTGACTTCTTTGATTAAAGAAAATATACTATCTACATTTATTGCTGACTGGAAAACCCTTAAGGATTTTTGGCATAAAACAAGACAAAAGTGAATTTATGGTTTTATTATACAAATTATAGAACGAATAAAATCATGCTGTAACCTCAGAATAAGAGGTCAATTTATCATTTTACTTAAAACTACTGTAAACAAGAACAGAAGCCACTTCTTTGTATATTTTACTTTTTCTACGTATGTTTACTTTTTCCCTTTCTTGCACTTTTAGCTTTCTTTGATTTTTCTTTTTATTCTTATTTATATTTGTTTGTGTCAGCTTTTATCTTACTTTTTAAATATATATAAAAGAAATGTCATTAATCAACTTCAATGTGAATACATATTCTTTTTTGTGCTCCTCTACCGTACCTACTCAAAGCTTTAAGTGTCTTTGGCGGGCAATTACACTGAAGACTTTTAGAAGTTAAACTGAATGGTAATAATCATTATTCAAAAATGTTTTCATAAATAAAGATTTGGCCTTGTACTATCATAGCTGGCTGTAATAGAAATCATAAAATTCTTCAAAATTAATGCTAAGTTTTGTTAAAGTTTTTGTATTTTCTTCTTCCTCATTTTCTTACATGCCATGTCTTTCTAGTTTGTAAGCTTTATCTCAGGAAAAAATTATTCTGTAAGTCAGGTAAACATTTAGACTGAAGACTACAATTAAATAAACAAACACATTTTCATTTATTGGTTCACTGTATTTAACTCTGTTCTATACTGAAGTAGAAAAATCTAACAAAGAAAATTATTTATAAAAAAATACTGTATCTTTGCTGTAATGAGACTTATTGAGATTGCATGCTTATTCCTCTGAAAAGTAGTTTAAAAGCACTCTCCCCCCCCCCGCCAAAGAAACATTAGCAAGTCTGCCGTTCAAGCAGTACCTTTTTTACAAAACAAACTGCGAAATGTACTACATATATAATTATTTCCTCTACTCTGTAAGTCAATATGCAGCTGATAGCCATGCAGGCCATACTCAGGATCAATATCATCTGGAATAGCCTTAATAGGGGCTTCATAATGTCTCCTGGAAAAAAATGGAGAAGATTGCATGTATAGGGCTTATAATGACTACATAAAATGTTAAATCATGAGCTTCACATGGGGAGAAGAGTTTTCAGTCCCATTTCTCAGATCTAGTTTCAGCTCTCAAATATTTTATTTATATTGGGTTATCATCTGAGTATTCTTTAGCAATTAAACTATTAATTTAATATATAAAAATGAATCTCTTTGGGGGATTTAAAATATGTTTAACTAAAATTGTAAATGTCTTACTGTTTATACAATCTTATCTTATGATATGGTTGTGTAAACAGCTTATATAAACTCTTTATAAAATAGACTTTTGTGTTTCTTATTGACAATTGTTAAAACTTGGGTGGCAGGTGTTTGTTTATTTGAGTCTTAAAGTCCCAGATCACTTTAGTTTCTTCATTTTCTATTACTTTGTCTGTTTTATGATTCCACCAGATCTTTCTCACAGGCAAATGGTATTTCTTGCAGATATTCCTATCCTTGTTGCTAATTTGTCATGCTGTTGTTTATAATTCAGTCTATGTCATCTTCTTGTAGCAGCTAACCAGGTGATCCACTGTTTCTTCAGCTTCTTTGCAGAAGCAGGATTTGCTACCTGTTCCTGTCTTCCCAATTCTTTGTATGTATTTGTTCTCAATGATTGATCTTGTGCAGCGAGAATTAAACCTTCTGTCTTTCTTCAACTTTCCTGCTCTTACGCATTGTCAGATCATCTAGTTCAGGGGTGTCAAACTGACAGCCCGCGGGGCAGATGTGTCACATGCAGGCTATGCCCACTCCGCAAATGGGGGAAAAAAATCACAAAAGATCACATGATGGCAATGGGATGCCATGAGTTTGACACCCGTGATCTAGTTATTTGCTTTTCCTGGTAGTTTTTTTATGTAATCGCCATGTAATATTTTATCTTGCCATGTCTGTTCTGTTCTTCATTTAGTCTTTCATGTAAGCCAATGTCATCTCTCCAGTACTCAGTAAGCCTTCCTGTTGTATTAGCATCTTCTTCATGTCCTTCAGATATTCTTTCAATACCCTTTTTTTCTTCTTCAACTATCTGCTATATTTGGAACATTTCTATTTCCCTTGGTAAGTAGAGCCTGTCAACACTGCTGTGTGGATGAAGAGCATGAGTCATTGTCATTGTTTTTCTTATCTTCCTATCCAGGGCTTTTAGTTCT